TTCAAATGTCGTGGTCTGAGAGTGATTCTAGGAAGCTCTTTTTCATCATAGTGCCCAATATATCTTTATATTATGTGTAGATTTGTGACAAAAAATTATTATATTTGTCACAAAGATCAATGTTTTGGCTACACATATGTATTTTGTCTAAACTGAACCACACATACAATTTATTATTTAATGTTTGAATCACTGTTTTTTGAGTTCCGATTTCACAATTATCCTTTCTATAAGATATAATAATTCCAGGTAAAATACATTTCCTACTTGGTTGAAGAAGCTCTTTCTATAAGATATATTCAATGTTTTAAGATTTTCTATTTCAAATTTCGTGAAGCGAGAGTGAAAGTAAGAAGAGTATTTTTGTCATCACAATTATTATCTACTTCATATGAAATAGTATCAATATCAAGATTTGAACCATGGTCTCTTCAAACAAAAACAATAATCACAACCAATTACACTAAACAAATTTGTTTTTATCTTCATAGATTGTAAACATGCACTAAGCGAAGATTTGAAAAGCAGAGGAATTTTCACGGTTAGCTAGCCTATTAAATCTTCTAAAAAGCAAATTTTAATACGCGATTTATAATTTTTATAACCTATAAAATGACGGGTAATCTGAAAATTGCAACACAAATTTCATTGCCTGAAATATTGCATATCGAACTGCAGTATTGAATATGCAAAAGCGATGTAGAATTTTGTAAATTAATATGAATTTTCAGAGCTAATACGAAACAATAATATTTTGTACAAACTCTAGGTGACTGGTTCTCTAAAGTTTTAGCCTGGTTAACTGCTAAACGTTAAACTCTTGCTAATCGGGCATGAATGGGCCCGACAATAATGAGACGATATCAAGTTTAATATGATGTTCATTTTGTCAGTTTTGGATCGGATGTGTTGATCAATTTATAGGGCATCTACAAAATACATAAATGCAAAACATGGGTTGGAATTCTCCCATTTCAAATTTCGTGACCATAGAGTGATTCTTGGAAGGTCATTTTTGTCATTGCAGTATTGCACCCAGTTCATGTTTATATATTAAAAATGTTATTATTGGATTTCAAACCTTGTAAAATTACAAATCAATTCTTTTAATTCATCTTCATAATAAACATTAAGTTGCTCTATCCGCATGGATAATTTAATTTCAGCTTCTCCCATAAACACTTTCTTATAACAAACACGATTTTATTACAAAAGTTATCAAAACAATGAACTATTATCAATTGTATTTATATTTCAAATTTTATCAAATAATACGATTGTGCGTAGATTACCCGCCCAACGGAACAGGCCATGTGATAGACGTTAGCTCAATTACTAGCAATTCAATTAGCACGTTCTTTTTCTTGTTCTTGCTTTTTCTTTTTGTTGATGAAATAGTAGGGAGAGAGGAGACACATTATTCGTTTCCTTGGAGCTACCTTTTAAGTATTTTCGTACACTAACAACCACTAACAAGTAACAATCAAGTGAAAATAGGAATAAGCACCCCCATATAATATTAATTAATTAATATGGATGTACAATACATGCTGTGGACGCATTTATTTTTCTTTTTTGGAGGAAGAAACGTGCATGCAACAAACTACGTGCTTTTGGACTCTATGAACATGTCAGAAACATTTCTGACAAATATGCCAAACCCAAAGTTTCAACAGTTAATATATAGGTCAAAATGAATAAAAAACATGATAACAAACTTAACTCGGACGTCCTTTGAAGATGGCAATCACTTATTATATCCATGTTTGACGTATTAAAGAGTGTTATTTGATGGTATAAGATTTAATTTAAATTTTTTCTGGTGTTAGAGTCTGTGATACTTAAAGGTTTTGTGTTCTAATTTCCATAGCTCATAATAATGGTAGGTATATGGTCCGAGCAAGTGAGGAACGAGATAGTTCAATTAATTGTCTTATTTTACAAAATGAGTAATTTATAAAGAGAAAATTCGAATTATTTACCCCCAAGACAATTGTGATTCCCACAAAACTTATCAATTCAAAAAAATTCAAGTCAAATTATTTTATTAAAATTTATATTGACAAACGGGTCAATTTGGCTCACCCGTCTCAAAATTAGATGATTGAGTGAAACTGATTAATTAGAATTTCGCATCCAATCTATTAACCAAAAGATGTTGTTTGGATGGATAATTAAGAAATGACACAATTTAATCAATTGTATCAATTTATCAAACGATTCAATTATAACTACTCTTTAGACAATTGATATTTGACTGAAAATGAATCCACTTGAAAATTTCCACATCAAATTATTTTGTTCAAAATTTTTACTGGCAAACGGATAATCAAATTCAATTATCTAAAATAATAAATTTAAATCAAACTCATCATCTACAATTCCTTATCCAAACCACCTCACAAGCAAACTTCTCACCAATAATTCATTCTGCAACCTCCGATTACAAAATAGGACGCCATGCTTTCTAATAGTAATAATTTTATTAGACTCATTTGATCATCTATATGAATTCGGAATTTCCTACAACATCTTGAAGTAGGGGTGGCAGTTCGGTAATTTCGGTTATAACCGGTAATCGATTGGTCGGTTATCGGTTAACCGAAATAATCACTTTCCCTACCGAAAATCGCCCAAAATAGACTTCGATTTCTCGGTTATTGGTTAACTGAACCACTTTTAAGATAAAAAACCATTTCGTCCAGTCTCCGATAACCGACCGAAGTTCGGTTACTTCGGTTACCGGTTAGTGGATAACCAGCCGGTTATCGATTTAACCGACCGGTTAGACGATAACCGGTAACCGAACTTCCACCCCTATCTTGAAGTAAGGTAATTTGATTTTTTTACCAATTATAACAGGTTTCACATGTCGCCTTACATGAAATACAATAGTCATTACTTAATGTCGTATCGTATGTTTATCTTACGCAATAGTTGTAAAAGATCATTACAGAAGTCTTACGTAATCGACAATCTTTTTACATAATGAATTTTAACCTCGTGTTACGTAAAGTACTGACAAGTCCTTGCGGAAGCCATATGTAACGCTTTTGTTTTAACTATTATGTAGAAATAACTATCGCAACATAACCTTTACGTAATGTATGTGTATTTTACGTAATGGTTGTAAAGCGTTATTACAGATGCCTTACGTAATGGAAGGTTATTTTACGTTATGATATACTCTCGCATTACGTAAAGGGTTAAGTCATTACGAAAGCCTTACGTAATACTTCCAATTCAACTATTACATAAGAAATAACTATCGTTTCGTAACCTTTACGTAATGGATGTGTATTTTGCATAACTCGATAAATGATTGGTCTGCACGGCTGGTTACCACTATTTTGATAACCAAGAGTCTAAATATTGATTTTAGTTTATTTTAACGGTATAGATTTAACGGTATAACGGTATCAATCTAAACAAACTTGATCCACTTAGCTTCTTTTTTAGCGTGTTCAAATATTGATGATGATTTTCACGGTTTGTTATTAATGTTTGTACATGCTGCGAATAAGGAAAAAACTGAAGGGTTGGAAGGAAAAACTCTTTCTGTGGCATCAAGAGAAGTGTTAATTAGATCGGTGGCAGAAGCCCAACTTAACTACGCGATGTCGGTATTCAAAGTTCCGGAAGGGGTGATTGATGAGATACAAAGTTTGATAACACAGTTTTGGTGGGGTCAACGTGGGGAGGAGCGCAAAGCGCATTGGATCAGGCGAGAGAGACTGGTCATCCCAAAAGACATGGGTGGAATGGGGATTAAAGAATTACGAGGTTTCAATATGGGTTTCCTGGCGAAGCAACTGTGGCGGCTCCTCAAGCAGCCGGAGTCTTTCGTAGCTCGAATTTTTCGTGCAAAATATCATAAACATACTTCTATCTTGGATGCAGAGCTGGGGTACAGGCCAAGTTTTGTTTGGCGTAGTTTACTGAGGGCGCAAGAGTTCTTAAGAGCTGGGCTGAGATGGCGGATTGGTAATGGAAGTCAGGTTCGAATTTGGGGAGATAAGTGGATACCGTCCCTGTCAAGGCATTTTGTGGAGTCGGCTCCGATGGGACTCCCCGTGGATGCGAGGGTGAGTGATCTCTAGGATGCGGAAGAGGATGCGTGGGACATGAACGTACTAGAGAGTTGTTTCCCGACTGACATTGTCCAAGCTATTAGGGCGATCCCTGTTCGGCCAGGGGAGCACGATGAACTGATCTGGCAGCATTCTGTTGATGGGGAGTACTCGGTGAAGGAGGGGTACCGAGTATGGCTGGAGCAGTCCTTGTTGAGACAGGGGTTGCAGGGGTCGGATGAAGGAGGGTTTTGGAAGCAGTTATGGGGCATGAAAGTGCCGCCAAAGGTGCGTCACTTTCTGTGGAAATTCGCCCAAGATATCTTGCCAACTAGGGCTCGAGTCGGCAAGAAGAGTGAGAAGTGGTCTGATAAGTGTCCATTCTGTGATGCGTATGAAACTCAACAGCACGCCTTTGTGGAATGCTCCTGGGGCTCGAGAATTTGGAGGCAATCAAGCTATGTTGATCTGTATGCGCTACATGGGGCGGGGTCGACGTTGGAGTGGTTGAAGAAGGCGGGGGATGAACGCTTCGCTGAGTGGAGCGTGCTGTTATGGTTTCTCTAGAAAGAGCGTAATGCTCATTTGTTTAATGGTTTGAAGACGGCGGAAGATGAGATCGTGGATAGGGCGAGGCACTTCCTGGAAGACTATCGCCAATATCAGGAGAGGAGCACACCACCTCAGCCCCCAACCGGCGAGAAGAAATGGCGTAAACCTCCGAGGGGTCGAGTCATGGTTAACACTGACACTGGGGTGCTACAAGATGGGGGGATCGGCCTGGGAGTGGTAATGCGGGACGAGAACTGGAAGTTTATTCTTGGAGCAGCAAAGATGGTACGTGGGCAGTTCACACCGGAAATGGTGGAGGCAATGGCTTTGGAGATGGGAGCTCAGCTGGTGCAACAATTTAACGTCCAAAATCCAATCATGGCGACGAGTTGTTTGCAGCTGGTGCGACTGTTGACAGAGCAATCTTGTTCTCGATCGGAGCTGGGAGTGGTATGTCGGAATATTCGAAGGCTGGTGGAGGAGCGACAAGGAAGCTTCTCTCATTCGTACAGGGAGGCAAATGAAGCTGCTCATATCATGGCACATGTTCGCACTAGATGGGACGAGCGGATTGTCTGGCTGGATCGACCGCCAATTTACTTAGTTGATCGGATTAAGCTGGATGATGTTGCAGCCAACTCTGATAATGATTTGATTACAGGTTTTTGTAAAAAAAATATGTACATTTTATTCGTCCTCTTCGAGTGTATGATGGAAGGAACACAATTAACTTCTTAAACTCCAATATAAACCCGAGTTGGAATCAACCACAACACGACATAGTGAAAACTGTCATATGGACCCAATAACTCGAATTATTGAGAAAAGTTATGCTGATCTTATATAGAACTCTCTAACAAAAACGTTATTTATATACTTTGATTTATTATTTTTACATATAATACTACTATTATTAGACACCAACCACGAAATTATTCTAAATTTTTTTTTAATTGATTTTCCGGTTATCCTCAAGCTCAAAGTTTAGTGACCCTTCCAATTGTGCGTATTTACTTTTGTCAAAACTGACTTCCGGAGAACGTCTGGCCGAAACCCCAGCTCGCCGGAACGACGTTATGCGAAACCAGCGACCGCCCGTCGCCGATGGTGACCTTGAACGATAACTCCTGCCCGAGAAGAACGGTGTTGGCCTGCCAATTCTGGCCCCAATTCCTCGTCATCGGAATCCACCCGGTCGTCGCCCCCTTCACCGCCGTCGACACCACGTCACCGCTACCGCCGACGTTACTCACCAGGATCAAATTGAAGGACCCGCTCCCGGTGATCGTGAACCTCATCCCTCCCTTTCTCTTGCACGCCACCCGCCTGTACTTCACCGGCACGATCCCGGCCTTGTACTGCGCGATGTGGAGAAAAATCGGCTGCGAGAGGTCGAAATGCTCCCGCGGAGGGTTGCACCAGCCGCCGTTGTCACTCGGCTCGGCGAAGTTCGGCGGGCAAAGGTTCGTCACCGTGATGGTGATCGCGCCGCGGATGCACCACTGGGCGTCTTCCACGCAGGTGATCTCGTAGCAGGAGCCGCAGGCTCTGCCATTGTTGAACAGAGCTGTGCTTAGTGCCGCCGTCTTCACGCCGTAGCCTTGGCTGTAAAGGTTTCCGTAGCCGCAAGCTCCCCCTGGGGGAAAAAAAAGGTGGAGGAAAAATTGATCAGTGGAATCCCAGAATTGGGGATTTTTTTGGAAACTAGGGTTTTGAAATTGAGATGGCAATTGAACTCGGGGAATCAGGGATTCTAAAAAAAATTTGGTTACCCATTGTGCCAGAGGCATCGCCGCCTCCGTAGAAAGTGGCGTGAGCGTGAACCCAGTTCCCTTCCACGCCCTGGCTCTTCTGGTGGTGCTTCTTATAAAGCAGAGCTTTTTTCAAGTGGGCTTTATGGAGCAGCGCCTTCTTTAATTGATGCTTGCTATGCGAAGATTTCTTTCCATGGCCAAGGGTTTGGTTCAAGTTGGACAGGGCAAGGAAAGCTAGGATTATAGCAATTCCAAGGTAAAACTTCATCTTGTGACTATGCTCTGTTTTTTTTGTTTTTACTTTCAGGTTACAGGAAACAGGGTGAGTTGGAGAGCTAGAACTGGGATTGCCTGGAGAAAATGGGGTAGTGGGATTGTGTATAAATACCAAACAGATGGTATCTCCATCGGCATGTTCAGCCAAAGAAAAGGATTTTGCTTAACTAGGACTGCGCTAGAAAAATCAGGGGAACTCAGGGGGTTTGAAAGTTGTTCTGCCATTTTTTGTGACCGTGGAAGTGGTGAAGGAAGAAAATGTCCCGAAAGCTGTTAAATTTGGGGGTTTGGTTTCATCACCAAATTGGGAAGAGGGAGAGATGTGGGTTAGCTACCAACCTGCAGAAGGGAAGAAGACAAGCGAAGAGAGGAAAAGGCGGGAGCTAATGGGCTGTCTCATGAATCTCTTTTAAAAAACAGAGACTGTTGTCACTTTCCCGGCCTCCGGCCAAGTGGGAATTTGGTTTTTCGTTTGGAGAGAGTCCGTGTGAAGTAGGGGAGTCTACTGTTAAAATTTTGGTGACTTCCGACTTTCAATTGAATCATGTGTTGGACTCACGTACTTCAAAAAAACGGATGTAGTAGCAGAAGAACCTCCTAACCTTGGGCTCTCCTTTTTGGTTTTAGGAGCTGTTGTGCGTGACTCAACTCGGCTATTGATTCGAGGAAAAAATCCAAAAGTACCACTGTTTTAAAAAAAAAAATTCCAAAAATACCACCCAACCCCAAAAAATTCTAAAAAGACCACCCTTTTTCAAAAACCGCCACCCCACCCAGCGGTTTGGTCGAAAACCGCTTGTCGGGGGCGCGGTTTTGGACCAAACCGCGGGCCTAGGGGGCGGTTATAAAAAAAAAGAATTTGGACCAAACCGCTGGGTGGGGTGGCGGTTTGGCCCAAAACCGGCACCCCAACCAGCGGTTTGGTCCAATTTTTTTTTTTTTCGACCAACTCCTAACTTCGGTCGAAACTTCAAACGAACGTAACATTGCACTCGGGTATCCGATCGTAGCAATTTGTTTTTTCATTTCGCATAACTTTTCAAGATCTACAACTTTTACTAGGATGAAATTTTCAAAACAGGAACTATTTGTGGATATACGGGACCTTGAGAATAACTTTACCTTTACTTTTCAGAAATTCATGTACATTTTGAAATTATGATTATATTAAAAGTTGTAGATCTTGAAAAGTTATGCGTAATAAAAAAAAAAATTCATGACATTCGGATTTTGGAGCACAAAGTTATGGCCGCCCGAAGTTTGACGAAATAAAAAAAGTCGTTCGTGGTGGCAAATGACGTTTTTTCGAGACGAAGACGGAACCCGACTGTTTGAGACTTGCAAGATCTCAAAAAGTTATTCGGATTCAAAAAATGGAGGCCGCAAACTTTTTGAGATCTTGCAAGCCGCAAACCGCCGGGTCTCGCCTTTCGTCAAACTTTGGGCGGCCATAACTTTGTGCTCCAAACTCTGAATGTTATGAACTTTTTTTTTATTCCGCATAACTTTTCAAGATCTACAACTTTTAATATAATCATAATTTTAAAATGTACATGTATTTCTGAAAAGTAAAGGTAAAGTTATTCTCAAGGTCCCGTATATCCACAAATAGTTCCTGTTTTGAAAATTTCATCCTAGTAAAAGTTGTAGATCTTGAAAAGTTATGCGAAATGAAAAACAAATTCGCTACGATCGGATACCCGAGTACAAAGTTACGTTCGTTTGAAGTTTCGACCGAAGTTAGGAGTTGGTCGAAAAAAAAAAAAAAATTTGGACCAAACTGCTGGTTGGGGTGGCGGTTTTGGGCCAAACCGCCACCCCACCCAGCGGTTTGGTCCAAATTTTTTTTTTTTATAACCGCCCCCTAGGCCCGCGGTTTGGTCCAAAACCGCGCCCCCGACAAGCGGTTTTCGGCCAAACCGCTGGGTGGGGTGGCGGTTTTTGAAAAAGGGTGGTATTTTGGAATTTTTTGGGGTTGGGTGGTATTTTTGGAATTTTTTTTAAAACAGTGGTTCTTTTGGATTTTTTCCTCGATTCGACATGACAACGAAGTCGAATGTGTTAAACGGTTGTATCGGAGTCAATTGGACCCGGCAAATTATAACCCGATCCGAAATCGCCCAAAAACTAGAAATTTTTGTAACTCGAAATTCGAATGATCCGAACCCTATAACCCGTGATTTTTTGGGTCGAGTTGGGCGGGTTAGCGGGTCGACCCGTTAGACCCGTTTCATTTTATATATCACTCCCAAAATGATAAAATCACTCATAAATTGGTGATATGTTAAATAAAATCACAAGGATTTGAATGACATGTTTGGAGTTTAAGGATAATAAATATCATGTGTTTTTTGTAGTAGTATTACTCTTGCGATTGTTTTTTTTTTTTACGGTTTGCACAATTTGTATTTCATTTCATTAGTGTGGAAGGATTTGAGAATATGTTAATTGACATGTGTTAGGTAAACTATTGTCATGCATATGTGAAAATTTGTGTTCTTTAAGAAAATATGAAGCATGTTTGATATTGTTTATGAGAACGCTCATAACCCAAAATGACATGTAACCTGACCCGAAACCGAATGGGTTTGGTCAATATTCGACTCGAAATCAGCCAACCATACATGACCCGACCCGTAACCGAAGTCCCCAACCCAAAATTATCCAACCCGATGCCAGGTAGAGTCAATCGAGTTAATATAAAGTTGATCAGGTCTAATATGTTGATGAACTAATAAGATGAAACTCGAAATTGCGGATGCTTATTTCTAACATATTTGTGGCAATGCTTTAATGATTTGTTTCTACTTTCTAATTCTTTGTTTTGTGGGATTCAACAGCAGCGGCTCTTCGAGGACTTCGGGTTGGCGCACATAGGGATGACAATTTTGCCCATACCCATGGGTATTTTACTATCCAACCCAATTGGGTTGGGTATGAAATCCAAATATATGGATATGGGTAAAGTTTGATGGGTTTGTACCCATACCCATTTACTTTGGGTCGGGTTGGATTTATAACAAATGGATTTGGGTTTGTACCCATGCCCAAATACAAATTACAGTTTGGTACCTAAACTTAATAGATATGCATATTTAGTACCTAAATTTAATTTTTTTGCATATAAGTCCTCAAAATATCGATGGAAAATTACGTTTTGGTACCTAAATTTTTTTGGTCTTACATTTTGGTACCTAAAATTTTCAAGTTTTACAAATAAGTCCAATTTTTGCATGTGTAGTTAAAACACCCTCAAGTAAATGGATATCCATATCCAACCCATACCCATTTAGATAATATCCATATCTAACCCAAACCCATATACAAACCCCAAACCCATACACACATCACCCAAACCCACCCATAATAAATGGGTCTACTTGGGTTTGGGCAAAATTACCCATGGGTGGGTAAATTGCCATCCCTAGGCGCACATTAGTGGGATATAGGAATGTGAGCCTGACTTTAACTCAAGGTTTTAGAATTTAGACAGATTTTCCGAGCATATTGGTCGATTTAACTCAAAGCATTAAAAAGCTAAGTTCAAGAAACTTTTAGGTGAGCGTTGGGCTCCTGACTGATGTCTAGACAACTTAAGGGTTATTTAGGCGCGTCTAGGTGTTCGAAACAAAAATAAACATCAATCTAATAAAATCACGAATTCATAGATGTAGAAAGTAGAAACACTCAACAACATTCAAAAAGTACATAAAAAGTTCACTCTTCATCATCCAAATATGTCTGTCCAGAAAAACTAAACCAATATCATCCTTATAAAAACAAAATACATTCATCCAGCCATCACTATCTCGTAGAGCGATAAATATATTATAGTTGAGAGATCAACTATAATTTTCTTGCACACACCTTCAAGCTCCAAAAAACAAGGGAACAAAATCAAATTCCTCCACACAACTAATATCAACTCCTCATTTACTCATATATATATATATATAGTGATTATCAATGTCAATACCTTCCAAGTTCCAATCTATGTAAAATACTAAAATTATATATTCAAGGTGATTTCTCATTACACGTGGGTGTGGCTAATGATCAAACTAAGGTGCCATAAAATTATAGAAATTGCAACGAGTTTCATTACATGTGGGCGTGGCCAATGATCAGAGGTACCATTAAATTAAAAAATTGCAGCGAGTTTGAGGGAGTAATATTGTCTATAAGAAAAAAGACAATATGATTGTTGCCAAGCGCCATTTTGTAACCCAGATCAAAAGCCAAAACCCATGCAATTCATTATCTAATACGACCCTGAAGGGTGTATTTTTATCAAAGTAACGCAGCAACGACTCAATCGAGAATCGATTGAGCTCGAATCAACAACGAACCGCTCTTAATACGAACTTGGGATAAAACGGAACCAACGGACAATTCCACACCTGGGGAAAGCTCGTATGGTATAAAAGGGTAGTTGTTCGACCACGATTGAAGGGACTATTCAATAGATACTAAGCTCAGCAAGTTTGGAATCCACCAAACCCAAAACAAGTTCGCAAACTTGCAAAACCAAACGGTTTCTTTTCTATTCAATCAACTCTTAATTTTTACAACGAAATAGAACGGTATTTAAAGGCAAATAAAACCTAATACAATCCTAATAGAACTAGAAAACAATTAAGGTAAAATTCTACACTAAAAAGGACACAAAATCGGGTTTAAACTCCCTTTCTTGAAGCACAAGCAAGCTGCCAGCAAACAGTCAAAAGGCAGCTTTCGTACTAACTTCGCGCCTTTTGTTCGAGGCCTTCCAGAACTCTAATCCTTCATCCAATTCCTTCCCTTGGTAGATAAACATTCCTAATTTCATGTTGTATAAGACTTTTGACTTGAATCCCATCCATACTCCTTGAATTGAGCTCCAAAGTAGGCTTCACAAACTATTGGAAAACAGCCTTAATGACATCGTATGGATAAAAAAAGCATACCATTGGAAAGATGAAAACTTTATCTGCAAAGCAAACTATTAAACTTGAATTTCCACCAAGCCAATTGAGAGAACCATGCCTCCAAAGTATGTACCCTGAACACGGATTTTAACTTGGCCAAATTCTGCCCTTCTTCTTCCCAACTTCATTTCTTCGTCAAGTAGATTAAATGTGTATAATGGACCATTTGGGATCATATCATTATCCTTAGTAAATCATTCAATCCATGTACTGAAACAACAATCACTAACACATGGAGTACAAAACCTTAATCCATGTGTTCGCGCCATTTTGTAACCCAGATCAGAAGCCAAAACCCACGCAATTCATTATCCTTAGTTCACTTATTTGTTTATATTTTTTCAAAATAAAATTTATTATTAAAAAATTGCTATAAAAATTATAAAATGTTTCAAAGCTTCTCTTTATACTTCGCTTTTGTACTTCCGCTTTTACTAATCATTTCCCTTTTACGTAGAAAATAGATTTTGATCCTTTCGTGGTCATCCGATAAAAAAGAAGATGGATGTTGGATTCATTGGTCTCGCCTAGGCGCACAATCCTTGCAAGCTCAGATCTGTGGTCGACCTTAGTTCCATCTTTCCTTCCTTTTCAATCAAACGTAGGAATCTCAACCCCATGTATAAAGTATAAACCATCAACAAACGAAAAAAAAAAAAAAATGAGAACAATAAAATTGCAATCTCTGTGTATAATATAGGGTTAATTGCAAGGATTGTTACTGGGTTTACTAAAACCGTTCATGTTTGGTCACTGCAAATATTTAATTCCATTCATGGTCACTAAGATTAGTTCAATAGTTCAAGTTTGGTCACTCTCGGTTAGTCTCCGTTAGTTTTTGCTGATGTGACAGTCAACTATTATAGTTGACCGTTAAATGAGTGACGTGGCCATTAAAAAAAATAATAAAATAATAAAATTTAAATATTTACAATTTTCACCTCATTTTACAACTATTAAAAAAAAAAAATAAAACTTACCTCCGCTATCTACGCCACCGTGATTCTGATCCCTCCTCCTTCGATTTCTCTCCCCCTCCTTTCGGTTTCGACTGCTCTCCGATACGCTCAGCTTTGACTGCTGCGCCGTGGCCATGACGCGATCGTCTCCGCCGCCAAATCGAAAGGGCGAGAAAAGGAGGGAGAGAGAGAGAGAGGAGAGGAACCTTGTCTTCGCGCTTCTTTTTGGGGACATCGGAGGGGTTGCGGAGGGCGAAGAGGATGAGTTCGCGGAGGTGCTGAACGAGCTCGACCGGTGTCCGGCTCCTGGGCTTGAAGAGTCCTTTCATCGTGACGCAGCCGACCACCAAGCACGCTGTTTCTGATGATGATTTTCTGTGGAACGACGTCGTCTGAATTCCTCCTTCGCCGCCCCTGCTCATCGTCCACCGCCGGATCTCGCCATCGGAGGGGGAAAGGAAAAGGACAAAGAAAAGGGGGATTTGGCTAGGGAGGAAGGGCGGGTGATTTATTAATTAATTAATTAAAACAGAATGGAAAAATTGAAAACTAATAATACGATTGGATTAGGATTAATTCGAGAGAGAGAGAATTAAGGTATAATCGCTGCAGCAGCAGCGGCGGGTTTTCGCGGGAACCGATAGGGTGCGGTGTTGGGTTATCGGGGCGACAGATTTACTGTGGGCGTGGGTGGGGCTGCCCGTACAAATCGTCGGTGGAAACCCAGTCCAGAAACTCTTCATTCGTCGGCAAAGAGCCTCCTGCTGCACGTAATACTAATCAAACCGTAGACGATCGTGTCATGGCCACGGCGCAGCAGTCAAAGTTGAGCGTATTGGAGAGTAGTCGAAACCCAAAGGAGGGGGAGAGAAATCGAAAGAGGAGGGATCAGAATCACGGTGGCGTAGATGGCGTAGGTAAGTTTTATTTTTATTTTTAATAGTTGTAAAATGAGGTGGAAATTGTAAATATTTAAATTTTATTATTTTTTAATGGTCACGTCACTCATTTAACGGTCAACTATAATAGTTGACTGCCACATCAGCAAAAACTAACGGAGAGTGACCAAACTTGAACTATTGAACTAATCTTAGTGACTATGAAAGGAATTAAATATTTGCAGTGACCAAACATGAACGATTTTAATAAACCCACTGCCCAGTGACCATCCTTGCAATTAACCCGTATAATATATATCAGTCTTTCATTTGTTGTCGGCAAAGTGAGTTGGTGCCACGTTGGTTCTTTCTCAAGCACAAGAGACTCCTGGTCCCACCACCACCACCACCACTTTCTCTATTGATCTTCTTCTTCTTCAGGCCACTGTTATTGCTCAATGTAACAACAAAAGAGCACAAGGAGCCAAGAAGAAAAAGAAATAAGTGCCACCTCTAACTTAGTCACTTGGAAGCTTTACTGCCTGAAAAGCTTCATATCACCCACCACTGGATTTGTTGCCCGAGTAACTTCGTCGACATACATGCTAGCTGGACTGGCCACCACTGATCTAAACTGTATAATTATTCAACCAAATATATACACCTGTTCCCATTACTGAAACTTCGAGAACCGATATTTCTTCCTTTCACTTTCCCCCTTCTCAGCGTGCGGACAGAGGATATAACAGCTACTGAGAAAGCATAATATTGATTTCACTCACTTCCACAATATGAAGATGGTACATGCCACAAAGAGCTTTTCTGGTGTCTACCCTAAACTCACACAGCTTAGAGCAAGTTTCATTGTCTAAACTCACACGCTGGATTAACAAGAAAGGACAGGAAAACAATGATTCTTTCAGCTAATAACACAATCCAACACTTAGTCACCCAATAATAACCCAAGATAGATATCATGGTATTGGATTTACATATATAAATAAAATGTTCCCTTCAAATTCCTTGCTTCTCTCATTTTTGTGGTGCAGCAATCCAAATACCACTGCAACGCGAACCACATTACAACAGAGCACTCTTTTTTCTTTCACCTCCTTTGGACAAAAGCATGGGGGGGCCAAAGGAGTTTTTTTTTTTTTTTTTTCCTTCTGATCTTACAATCGTAATAATAGTTAAGATACCATCCTACCTAGCAGGCTATACAGGACCCGATTAAAAAAAAAAAACACAATCCAAATTGCCTGCTTCATCAACTCTTCTTCCTCCATCGGTGACTGAGATATACATACTTGCGTACTAAGGCCTGTAACTATTACAAGGAGCAACATACAATTCACACATTACACGATATGAACTTAGATGTAGAAAGATACCATCATATAGAAAACACACAAAAGAAACTGTACAGAAAGGGTGAGGAAGGGTCAAAAGCTTCATCCCCCTTGATTGCCTTGCATCATCATCATCTCCCTGATGGCACCAGAGTTTTCTCCTCCGACTCTTTGGGAGATCGGGCGATTGCTATAGGAACCAGGTGAGGCGAACTTGGCCGACTCGAGGGAGATGAAGGTGAAATAACAGGAACTTCCTTTTCCTGTTCAAGGGGAACAGGCTTTGTATAAACCTTCTTCGGTGTGTATGTGAAGTTGAGATCTCTATTAGCAGCTAGAGCAACCAACTCTTTTTCCTCCAACCCTTTCACTGGACCGAGGCTGCACCTGTCAGGATTGTGCTTTGCCAATGCATCTCTGAATTTCTTGATCTGCAAGGGAACCAGACATTCAGGACTACTGTCTAGGATGATAAGCACAAAAGTCAATTCCTAGAGGAGTTCAAATAATGGTGATTCCTACAAGACAAAGAAATGGGAAACAGAACTAACCGTGGCATTGGTGCAGCTAAAGCTGCATAGCCGACCCTGAGCTCCACGGTAGAAGCGGAAGAAAGGCAGAACATGGACGTTGAGACTATAACACATAGATTTATGATCCTCGTAATTCACATGAAGAAACTGTACATCTGGGTTCATCTCTGCTATTTGACAAATCTGCAAAACACCATCCCAGATTTCCATCCCTTAGTTCTAAAACAACACCAACTAATTTCTATTCCTCCACCAAAGTTAAAATACACAACACCCCACAGCAAGCAAAACTGTCTACAAGATGCATGTGTTACTTACTACCTTGGGATGGAGAGCCTTGCAGCCACCACAGCCAGGGGAGAAGAAATCAACAACAACGAGTTTGTCTCCAGCATTCATGAGAGAGTCTACAAGGTCTTGAGCCGAAGTGATCTCCTTCATATTGGATTGCAACCCCTTCTCCCACCATCTTTGCATGTTCCCAATTCGACCAGTCTGCCATTTTCCCACAAAGATAGAGGAGACAAAAGAAACTTATAAGCCAACTGCCAAACAATCCTTTTCAAATAAGAGGAAACATTTAACCCCCACAAATGATCTGTGTCAGATTTTAACTTTCAATTCTTGCTCATGAAACCAGCTTCTAATTAATTGGGGTTCCTACTTCTCCCCCTCCCCAAAATTAATTCTTGAGATGCGGTTGTAAGTAAATAATCTAGTAATTAAATTACCAAGACCTAATCAGCAGAAGAGGGGAAAATCTAAGTAAAAAAGAGAGCTTTGACCAATCCTTACCTGAGCCCTAATCGAAGCTCGACGAAGCTGTCCCCTTCTGGCGCCTCTGGCTTCGTTCCCGTGAGCAAAGAGCTTCTTCCCATGAAACCCACTGCTAACAACACCACCACAATGCGCTGCCTGCGATCTAAAGGCCTGAGTTTTCTCTTTCAAAGGAAAGCCATTAACCCTGCTCCGACTCTTCCCAACGACACAGATCCGGCCGTAGCGGTGGCTGTCATAACTGTTTGTCGACGAAGACGAAAAATTTGCAGAACAGGAAGGAGGCCAGGACGAAGCGATCAGATGCGACTTGCTCAAAACATCCGCCATAACTATTCTCTTTACGACCCCACAAGAAAGAAAACAGAGGATGACCCAATGTTTGAGCCTTTTTTAACAAAGGATTCAATAAAATCTTCCACAATAAGCAAAGCGAGCGATGAGAACAGAGAAGCAAGCGCGGAGTGGGATTTGCTTGTCTTGACAAAAAAGGAGATCGATTGATTGTGCCCTCCTTTTTACTTCAGCTCTCGAGGAATTGAATATAATTTTGGATTTTTTTTTTCTTCAAATTTTCAATTTCTGAACTTCACACACAGACCAGAAGAAAAGAAAAGTGGTGAACTTTTTTTTTTTGGTTTTGTTTGGCGTTTGGCCCCCCCTCGCCTTTCTGCTTGGCGCTTCTGTGCAGAGAAGAAAAAGAGGGGAAAGGTCTTCGTGGGCCATCAGATTAGGATGAGGGACGTGGCCGAGCAGAGGAAATCGGACGGCTTTGAAAAAACTTTTTATCTTTTTAACGGAAAAACGGAAACAACGGGGGTATTTGGATAATGTTCAGTAATTTCCTTGTTCCCTTTTAGCTGGTTTTTATGGTTCGCTGGTTAGTCACGTGGTGGCGGAGGAAGCGGCGAGACGTGTCCAGCGTTTCGACCCGGTTTTATCTATGGTGCTTAGGATATTGTTGTGGATAATAATAAAACAAAATATGGGGAAGAGGGTTTGGTTCGTCGAAAAGAAAAAATTTCGAACAAAAAACAAATTGCTATAAAAAATTACTTTTAAAATTTGTAAAAGATAGTTTTAAAAAGTGATTTGGGTTGGTTGGTGGAAGCTGAAAATTCCTTATTTGATTACCAACATATAGACCAATAGTGATTGATGATTAGTAGTTAACCTCATACTAACTGATTAAAGGTTGGTTAATCACCCAAAATAGATAAAATGTCAAACACACGACTCCCCCTTCCCTCGACTGCTCGCACTCATTGGTTACGCCCTATATCCAATCTCCCTCTCCATTGCGCTCATCCCTCTCGACATCGATTATAATCAGTTTCTAAAACCCTAAACCTAGCAGTCGCCCCGCCCCAATGACGACATTTTCTCTAACGGCTTCCCTTCTGTCAATCTGCCGCACTAGCTCTCTTTCTCTACCTCCAGAGCTAAACACATCGACCATGTCCTTCATCGCATATTCCCTTTGGTCTACTTGTTGTCTCACCTCATACGATGACAAACACTACAAAAAAATGATCCATTAACGAGGGGAGATTTTGCTGAGGGTACATAAAACGGTCATTGAAAAGCAGTTTATGATTGACACTTCTCTATCAATGAGGGTCTTCCATTTCTCCTCGTGATTGTCTAAAACTCACCGTCATTATTAATCAAAGACTAGCAGTAACGATGGGCCGGCCACACCCTCCTGATTCCCTTAGATGAAATTATTTTGAAAGCCCGCCACTTATTTCAATTTGGCGGCTTTTGATCTACTTTCAGATCCAAATTTCTGTCAAATTCAAATCTCAATCCCCAATCCCCCTAAGTGGCCGCTTGAAACAATCTCACTCCTCTTGTCTCGTTCCTTCCACCCTCTTTGACAGCCTAGAAGAAAACATCACTCCCATTCTTCCCCTCCTCTCGAACCATGACTTTCTTCTGGGAAAACCAGCGCATAGCTTCCTTTCCTCTCTTGTTCCTGTTTTAGTCTCGACAAAAGAAAATATCCTTTTTCTTACTCGTCTCTCGCATCCCTCTTTTTTTCTTCTTCTTCTTGCCAAAGTAGAAGGGGCGACGGCAGGCCTATCGACGATGGCGACTAAATTAAGGCCTAAAGAAGGATTAAAACCCCCTCCTTTTATGATGATCTCCAGGCTTGCTTCGCTTCCCAAATCGAAGAAGGATGAAGAACCCTCGTCTCCTTCTAGCCGTCGGTCTTTGCGTATTGAGTTCCAGAAAATTGCCTTGGGTGACCGGGCGACTACGACTCGACGGCCATCGTACGCCATTGCTACTCCGCTCTGGGGACCTTCCAGCGTGTCGTTTTGCTCAGTATTTCCTCCCACTTAAGCTCTTTAAGGGTCTCTAATAGAGTAATTTGCTTTGCATTTGTCGATTGGTTCCAGGATTTCAAGACTGGAGCTCTTTCTGGAAGGCTACGGTTTGGAAGTCTTCGAAGAGAAATTGGTCCTCGGGTCCAGATTATGAGTTGCGGCAGCAGACTCTGGATTTGATACTGTGATTTTGGAATTGGTGTGCTTATAGGGTATGAACACGACCCAATTGAGGATTTGAGATTCTTTTGGGGTTTGGTCATTCTTTCAATTGAACTTGATTGACACTATATTGGGGTTCCTGACATATTTTGATGCTAAACCATTGCCTCTGTGATTCTTTTGTTGTTGTGTTATTTTCACTTCGTTCGTTTCATCTTATGTGCCTTCTATTTTTCTGCTCATATTCTTCTGAAGCGAGGAAATGGAGTTGCAGCCTGCACACAACTATATGCTTCCCAACAACTAACTAAGCTTCTTGCTTTCCCCTGTAAGTCCCCTGCCTCTCACAAGCTTTTGTTTTTTTGCTGGCAATCTTGAAAGGCATAACTATGTGGATGTGTGGCTGACTGGCTGTGTGATTATAAGGCAGAGATGGCAGCCCTTTTATAGAATTGTATGTCTCATTTGTTGGTGATGAGCAATTTCTTCCATTATATGTGCATCTTTAAAGGCCAAGCAATTACACGAATGTAGGTCAGTCTACCGGATGCTTTCAAAAGCAATCCTCCTATCATACTAAAAGCTGCAGATTAAATTAATTTTTGGATGATTGAGCAGTGAGTTTCCTGACTATTTTTCTGTGTTGAATGGGTTAATAAGTGACTATCCACTACCTGAGTTGTTGATTTATTGGTTTGCAGAATAATCAGCTTTGGTGGAAATTGGTTATATTTGTGTAAGTAAAGGGAACATTTTTCTTGGTTCTATACTTCACTTTCAATTCATGTTGAAACAGGGAGCCAAGTTGCAGGGCCATTATCTTGGTTTGCAAAAATAATCAGCATTGATGTGTGTTTGTTTTCTTAACTTATTAAGCTTTCCGATGAGAGCAGGTTTTATATACTATTACAGTGTGATGCAATGATGAACTGAGTGCAATACTTGCAAGGTAGGCATTATGAGAAGATTAAACTCCTTTTTCTCAATACGTTTGATCCAACCTTAGCCTCGTTGGTGTTTCTTCTGCAGCTGAAGAAACAAGAAGCAAGATTGTTGAGGACTCAAGAAGCTAAAGAAAAGGATACCCTTGCTCAAGCCACTTAGAAAGCTTAGAATAGTGTATATAGCTTGTATTTAGAGTCCAAATTACTTTGCATTAATCTATTTTGTTAAAGCACGTGCACATAAACTTGTTGTAATTCTCGAAAATTATACTCATTAGAGAGTACACATTCAGTGAGGTTTCAAATTTTAAATGGTAAATTTAAAGTTTCAAATTTGGTGTGGTATGTTCTCTGATCGTAACCGTTCATGAAAATGATTAACTAGAAGAGTTGGGTTGCTTTGAGTGTCAATAATGATGGGAATTCACATATTTGATTACGTATTAGTGAGGGTAATTTCGTCGCTAATGCTTATGAATCATAATGAGAAAAGTTAGTAACAACGACCGGAAGAGACTACCCTCGTTAAATCTTGTAACGACCGGATAGTGTTTTCCCGTCGTTATTGACTTTTAACGGCAAAGCCTATAATGATGGGTCATATCCCGTCGTGAATGACTTTTCCCGACCGTTTTTCGACAATTAACGACAGTATTTGCCCCTCGTTAAAGCTACTTTTTTTTGTAGTGAAACAAGATGGGCAACGAGGTTGTGCCACGAACCGTGAACCACTAATTGTGTTAGTAGCGAGGGAGAGAAAGGAAGCAAAAGGATGGTCGACGAATGATGGTCTACCTCCAAAGCTAGACATTTCTACCATGTATTTCCTCTTACATTCTCTCTACCTCTTGTGATGGTGGTTCTCACATTGTGTTATATTTAGAGACCAGTGTTTGGAGTTTACTTTTGATTTTTGTGTGTTTGTGAATTTGGAGAGAGAGGATGATGATATTTGTGAAAATGTAAACTTGTAGTATTATTTATTCTTTATCTGCAATTTCAGTTTAATGTGTCATAACTTTGAAGGATTATGCATTTATGATTGATGAAAGATTTGAACCATTTATGATATTTCCTCTATTTTGTTGGTGGGTAGGCATTTAACCAATAAAATAACCGCTAATTGCATTATCTATTTATTTTTAATCGGAAAGTCTTGAAAAGTCGCTTAATTGTAGTGTTTTCTAGGCAGCGGATAGTCGTTAACCAACCCGACTATCATCCTAGTTGGGCAGGTGGAATTCTCTTGCTTTTTTATTTCCTCTATTTTGGGTAGCTAGGAACCAAAAAAAGTTCGAGGACTCACCTATTTCCAAAAAAAAAAAAAAATAATAAGGATAAAACACGTGACTAAGAGGATAATTGTAACATCCTAGCCTGACTAAGCACTAAATTTATCAAAATACCTTTGATAATAAATGAACTTTAAATGCTTGAAGGAAGTGAAAGCGTAAAATGAAACTAAAACGTGAAAATTGAAAAGGTCAATGTAACTTAAGACATTTTACTTAATAGAAATCATACGTAAAACCACATCAAGTTTCAATTTTCAACAATTACTTTACAAAAACCCTTAAGCGAAAGAACTTGAAACAAGCAAGTCCATAAATGGCATCCTAGATTGTCAATTGATGAAAACTTTAATTTATAGTGTTTATCACTCTCACTCTTGTATTTCTTATCAAAATCATAACTATTTGATCAATGAGCCTTTAATTGACCTAGGATGTGTTTGTGTACTCTTTTATGCCTTCTTGGTATATTTTTTTTGCTTTCAAGGTACAAAGCTACTATCACCAAAAAAAAGGTACAAAGCTACTAAGGACACTTGGATCAAGTATTGAAGAACTTTGGAGGACCAAAGGAGCTATAAAGAGAAGAAAAGGGAGCTTTAATGATAAAGACAAGTTCCAATGATAGAGAAGTCTACTAGAAACCACTATGTGAGCGCAAGACAAGCCCAATAGAAGAAAACTCAGACTAAGCCGAAGAAGAAAACAGTGGCAGCCCAACATCTGGTCCAACCGCTGCTGGAGGAGACTTGGTCAAGACGCGTCAAATGATGAGAAGAATTTTCCATAGGCTAAGGAGCCCAGCCCACGAAGAAAAATAACGACAGGTCCAACCGCCGTTCATGCTCTAAGCTTCTAGAAGCCTTCTTCAAGAAGTTACTTAGTCCACAAGGAGTACAAAACCCATGCAGCTTCTCGGTAAATCCTGCACGGCCACAAAGGCCACCATGCACGGCCGTGCACTTTCCCGTCCTGGCCGTGCAACTTGTCAATTTGAGGGCTCCAAGTACGTGTTTCTCGCAATCACCTGCTCAATATGCTTTGAATTTATAGTATCATGCAACCTAGGGAGGTAGTTGTAGCACTACGGAGGATGCTGAAGTATAAGATATGTCCTATATTTCTCTTTGCTATGCCGGTTAATTGTGTGAACTAGTGGCTTTAGGACATTTGATTCATGTGGTATCGATGACTCCTCTTGTATTGTGGTGTGGACTCGTGTTTTGTAAAAGGGTGCTCAGGTGAGTGTAATTAGAATCATTTGGTCCTCCATGTCGGAAAATTTGAAACATGGGGTAAGCCCAATGTGTGTGGCATCGTTCATTGCAGAGAATCAGGTTTTGGAAGAGATTCTAGTGATCCTTAGTGGAGTAGGCCTACAAGGTGAAGCTAAACCGTCTCTTGTACAAGTAAAATTTCCACACGTCGAACGGTTTGCCTAGTCAAGGATGTGTTTTTAAGGGCATGGATAGAGCTTCCGACCCCCTTAATTTCATTGACCCTTCAGACAAGTTGAGGATAAGGAGTTAAAAGAAGTACTCTGGCGAGCGATAGATGTACAAAAATTGCTTCTGCCCAACCAATAAGGGTCTACCGCGCATGAAAAGCGCAATTTGGAATCCCGGCAAAGTGTGAAAAAAATAAGGAAAAAAAGGAAACCATAAGGAAAAGTGGTTCCAACGAATGAAGTGGGGAAAACACCCGATACGAAGAGTCCTTGGTTGTTGTGTTGTGTGAGTCTCTTTGTCCATTAATTTTCTATCCTAGGTCCACTACTTCGCATGATCCTGCCTTGAGTCTAGTACTCGCATTGAGAGAAATATGGCTTGTCTTAGAAAACTGGTTGACCTCGTGAGTTGCTAAATGACTTAGGAAGTCCTCTACTAACGATCGGGTTTCCATGTTGCTGTAAAGGTCTGGAGATTTGCATTGGTTTGAGTCAGGTTTGCTTGGGGACAAGCAAACGGTTAAGTGTGTGAGAATTTGATAACTCGATATTTACATATGTTTTGCCCACCATGCTTACACTATTTGAGGCTAAATTCTCGTGTTGTAAGCCGATTTCACGCTAGGTTGTTCTGGTTTGTGACATTTCAGGTCCTATTACGTGAATAAAGGTTTGTGAACGAGTTCGAGGACGATTGGACGAAGTTAGGATGTTTGCCGAGAAGCTGAGGAATTCGTACGACCTGTATGTGTTTCTACACGGCCGTGCGTTGTGGCCGTGCAACTGATATCAAGCAGTCATGGGCCGCACTAGCCATGAGAGGGCGGTCACACCCCGTGCGGGATTTCCAGAACTTCTGCACGGGCTGGGCTCAATTCTACACGGTCTTGTGATGGACGTGTGATTCCCTTTACCAATAAGTGGAACACGAAATTTTGTAGTTACACAGGCAGACACGGAATTCTGTACGATCGTGTGTTGGCCTTGAAATCGAGCAGAGCTAGGTTTTAACCCAATTTCGGGTCTTTGGAAGAGGATTCGACTTTTTGGAGCAAAAACAGAGTTCTAGAGAGAGAAAGGACGAAGAACAACTCCTACGAGCTATTTGGAGTGGATTTCTCACCATTGAAGCCAAATTGCGTCTCTAGGAGTGAAGATTGACATCCCAGAGCAGATTATTCCCATCTTTATGAGTATGATTGCATTTATTTATGTTCCCCTCTCTCTTTATGGAGTAAACCTTTCTCTCACTTGTGTATGAAGAACCTTAGTTCTATGTGTTAGGAATCTTGATTGTAATGACTTTTGGGATGTCATTCTTGATGATTTTAATCATTGAGGCATGTTTATTGAGTCAATTTAATCCTGATCAAGTTCTCTTGACTTCTGCTTTAACTTGTGATAGATAGAATCTGATTAGGTTATAAGAGCTTCTTCAATTGATAATAGTGAATTGATTCTACGAGATTCAATCAATTCACTGCTTTGTACTGGAATTTGTTCCAAGTAGAGGGGATCTGTGTGAATTTCCTTAGCCGTCTATCCTGGTGAAGGCTAGTCGCCTGTCGGGTATTCTGTCTAAGAGGGCTTGGTTAGCTTAAGAGATTCCAAGTTATTTTCGGATCTTCCACAATCTAATCAATAGTAAAAAAAATCAAAAAAAATTACAACTTGAACCTAACTGGGGAG